CTAGCATATTCAAAACTGATACTTGCACACTCATATCCTGGCACAAAACGATTTTTTTTTGCATTACGGTCTTCACAATGCCATTCTCCATTCGACCTGTGCAGTGTGAAAATTGTATTACTCGTAATTCACCTTCTTGAATATTACACCGACGCCAAGCAGGATGAATTTTAAAAGATTCTTCGGACTTAAAAAGTAAATTAAATAAATCAAGTCTTGATTCTTCTGTTCTAACAGGAACACTATCTGGATGAGCTGACGACTGTGAAGGCAATTTTTGTTCTTCACATGATACTGGTGGTAAAGGACAATTAATTTGATCTAAATCGCTTGGAATTTTAGGAAACGTATTATTCGATTCTGAATTTGTTGAAATAGACTCTTCTCTGACATCTACTGTGTTAAAATTTTCGTCACATGTACTCTGATTTTTTCTTCTTTTTTCCTTTTTTATTTCTTCAAAAGACATGTCTCTTTTAGTCGGTGGTGGACGTTTCCTTTTAGAATTCGACAAATACTTTGGACAATTCGGAAAAATAGATGGCAATGCACCTTTTTGTAATCTGGGCACTTTGTAATTTTCCTGAAAAATGTTCGAATTTTTATTATAAAGAATAGTAATGGAAGAAGCCGAATATTTTGACATAAGTGACGCTTTCTGAGAGAGGGGACATTATCTCCCAAAAATTTTAGGGTATAATTTTGACATTTTTAGTGAAAATAAAAGAAGAAATAATTCTTGAGACAAAACAATTATGTTCAAGTTTTATTTGTCTTCAAAGAATTCAATAAAAATTTAATTTAATTTTTTGTAATTAAAATATTAATTTATTTTAGAATTTATTCTTATAAATTTTGTAATGTAAACAATATATTTTGGTAATTTTGTTTCCAAATTTACGTATTTTTAATTTAATTAAAAACTGTTAGTTTACTATACAAAATTTTCTTGTAAGATAAGTTTGAAAAATTATAATTTTTATAATATTTACTGCTTTTCCATTGCACAGTTTACATTTAACTTAAAAATTTGAAGTAAAAGTTTGCGAGAAAAATTTTTCTGATAAAAGAAAATATTTTCGTTTGGTTAAATATAAGATTTTTATAAAAGTCAAAGAATGCGAAAATTGCATTGATTTTGTGAACTTTTTTTATTCCGTACATAATTTTATGAATTTATATTACAAACACAAAATTAAAAATATGCACTTACCGTTGCCATGACGTTTCCTTGTGGATCTTTTACCTCGCGTTTCCATAATATGTCCTCAGGTAAGAAATCGACGCCTCCCGTTGATAAGATGCCCGTTCATTTGTCAGAATAATAAAATGCCAACTCGAGCTCAGTTCAATATGAAGCTAGTTCAATTGTCAAAATAATAAAAGGCTATCTCAGTTTCAGAATAATATAATCCTATCTCGCATTAAATTCGAATTCAAGTTTTCGTAAATTAAAAAAAAAGTTTAAGTCGATCAGAATATTAATTCATACTTTTTAATGATTAATTAGTGATTAATAATTATTAATAAAATAAGAAATAGAATAAAAAACAAATAATAAAATAAATGAAAATAAAAAATATTATTAAAAAAGAAAAAAATTAATTTAGCCTTGAATTATTTATTACTAATATTATTTTTTTTATTATAATTTTTTTATTAATTTTTTTATTTTGTTAATCATTAATTAATCATTACAAACTATTAAATAATATTCCGATCGAGTTAAAAATATTCAAGTTTTCGTAAAATAAAAAATTTTTAACTCGATCGGAATATTATTTAATATTTTGTAATGATTAATTAATGATTAACAAAATAAAAAAATTAATAAAAAAATTATAATAAAAAAAATAATATTAGTAATAAATAATTCAAGGCTAAATTAATTTTTTTCTTTTTTAATAATATTTTTTATTTTCATTTACTTTATTATTTGTTTTTTATTCTATTTCTTATTTTATTAATAATTATTAATCACTAATTAATCATTAAAAAGTATGAATTAATATTCTGATCGACTTAAACTTTTTTTTTAATTTACGAAAACTTGAATTCGAATTTAATGCGAGATAGGATTATATTATTCTGAAACTGAGATAGCCTTTTATTATTTTGACAATTGAACTAGCTTCATATTGAACTGAGCTCGAGTTGGCATTTTATTATTCTGACAAATGAACGGGCATCTTATCAACGGGAGGCGTCGAAATGTTTCTGGCAAACCACTTGTCCACTTTTAACAACAAAATCGGCTCGTGGAATTGCCTTTTGCCATTTTTCAACTATTTCTTTTCCTGTTGGAACAGAAAAAAAGTGGACTTTCTCGATTTTTTCTGTCGAAGAATATCCCGACTTACAGTTCGGAGCGATGCATGAATGTCCCTTATAAGGCATGATTAACTGAAAATAATCATTAATACAGTGAATTCTAATTATTATTAAACACTACTTTGCATAAAACTATAATAAATAATATAATACCCACTGTCTTTCACATTTTTCACAAAAAAAACAACGAGAATAACACTGTTTACACGGTTTACACTGTATAAGTAGAGCAGGACGCGAGCGGCGCTGCCTAGCGGGCGCCTCGGTAACTACACAAACTATAATCACTAAGTATACACAAGTTCCCAATGCAAAAGCGTTCAAGAAAAATCCGGGTGGACATGTCACATGTGTTTTCGAAACAAACTGTTTCGAAAATGATTTTTATTTTTAATTTTTAGTTTTAAGATTCTTTAATTTTAAGCAGAAATTTTAATTTAAAAAACATTAAAAATGGTTTTCAATTATTAAGGTAAATTTCAAAATAATTATTTATACCAAAAACTTTACACATGATTCTCAATAATCTTTCGTAAATTTCTTTGCAGTCATAACCTAACAATATTTGTAAAAATGAAAAAAAACAAAAATATCACAATACTTTAATATAAAAATTATCACTACGCTTTAGTCCTTCAGTTAACCCGGTATGTATACATACAAAAAGAATTTTAAAACATCTTATAAAATGTATCTTCGAAAAAATCAAAATGTGATTCTATCTAATTACAGTGATGATATCTGATGAGGACGCAGAATTCTGCGTCGAAACGCGTCATGTAAACTGATGAAAAAATAAAAAGCCAATAGGCCAAAAATAAAAAAAACACCACTCGATTAATTAAATCTTGGCTTAAAAAGAAATTTATATTTCAAAAACTATTATTTTATAATAATTGAATGAGCAAAAGTGTATTTCAAAATATTATAAGTTTCCATATTTTTACCTAATATTAATTCATCTCCAGTTTACCTTTTGTCAACTTTTTTTTAAAATTCAATTAATTATATAACAATATATTGTTATATAATTATAATAATTATATTAATAATTATAATAATATAATATAATTAATTAATAATTATATAATTATAATAAATATAATAGAAATTAACCAAATTTTGTAAAAATCTATAACGAAAAATTTTCCGAGAGTCAATCTTTATTATGTCACGTTATTTCTTGAAATTATCTTCAGAGAATATAAAAACTCTAAAATTCGATAACGAGACGTAATTCAATTAATTATATAACAATATATTGTTATATAATTACTTAAATTACGTCATAAAATTTGTTTAATTCCACGAAGTGTTTTTTCTGACGAATTTGCATCTTCTTATCAATAAATTATTGTACTCATTAATTTTTCACCAAATAAAAAACAGCACAATGGGTAAATATCTGGGGACTTCCTAATAGCAAATTTTTACAAAAATAAGTCAACATGCCTAAAAGCGTTAGCGTAAAATAAAAATAAATTTATTTTACAAAATATAAATTTAAACAATTTGACAAAATAGCATTTATAATATGCACATTAGTTTGATACTCGAGAACTTTCTCGTTGTCGAATTTTAGAGTTTTTATATTCTCTGAAGAAAATTTCAAGAAATAACGTGACATAATAAAGGTTGACTCTCGGAAAATTTTTCGTTATAGATTTTTACAAAATTTGGTTAATTTCTCTAAAAAAGTTGACAAAAGGTAAACTGGACATGAATTAATATTAGGTAAAAATATGGAAACATAATATTTTGAAATACACTTTTGCTCATTCAATTATTATAAAATAATGTAAATTTAAAAACTATTGCATTTAATTTGACGCATTTTAAATTTGGCACCATTATCTATACATGACTGGCATTCAAGCCTGTCAATTCACAAGTTCCGAACCTAAAAGTTTTGTTTGCTTAGTTTCATAAATAGTAAAAACAAAACGACTTTAATAAATTTTTCATAAGTGCAATGTATAAAATATGTTTGTTCATTATAAACAATAATTTTAATTCAGTTATGTTAAAAAACAGAGTTCTTGTGCTAAATTATATGAAAAAAATGTATCGGAATTTCCAAACGGAATTTCTGCAAGAAATTCCACAAGAATTTCCGGTGGTCAATTCCCGGGAACTTTTTCACGTGGGTGATATTTATATAAAACAAGTTGCGGAGCTACAAAAATTTTTCTGCTCAGATATGTTGTTTCAAATGGTAAAAAATTAAGTTTGACATAATAGAATACTGAATCCTTTCTCAAATCGAGTTCCGGAACTACAAAAATTTTTGTTCTCACATATGTTATTTCTAATGGTAAAAAATTAAGTTTTCAATAGTTTTCGAAAGGACCGACATAGCCGGGCGCTAGATAGACAAATTACACGAATGATTTTTTACCTAAAATGACTTTTTGACATCTTTTAATGTCAAATATTTTATGACTCACCTTACTCTTATAAGTCTTAAATAGTATTATGAATAAATTTTATTATGACATAATGATTTTTATGTTAACAGAGAAAACTCGTGTACATGCACGTTTATTCAAGATTTTTTTTACAAAAAAGTAGTAAAAGTTATTGAATTAAAATAAAGCATACCTTAAAGTGTTCAGTATAACCTATGTATAATAATTTTTTAAATTAAAAATATTACAAAATGGCGACGTTACAGGCGTTAAAAAGTTAGATAATCGATAAAATACATAAATACGCTTTGCATGACAAAAGAAAATTAAAAAAAATTTTTTTTTTGAAAATTTGGGACTATTTTGAAAAATATCATTTTTTTATAAACAATCTACAAAAAAAATTATTCAAAATTTTTTTTTAAAAAAGTAGCTTGTCATCCAATATCCAGTAAATTAAAAAAGATTGCTGGTTTTATGGAAATCAGTTAAAAATTGTCTGATTGTAAGCCGCATGCATTGCACGGCGCGTGAAAAAATACATTTTGAGAAAAACGCATTTAAAATTTTCAACACAAAAAAGTAATGTTTTAACTATTTCCTTGAAGACGTTATGTATTCGAAAATAACTATTGCACTAAAACCACGATTTACTATTATTTGCTTATGGTGCTTCCTAATGACAATTAATAAAATTTGAGAAGAAACCAAAAGAACAGAGAGATCTCGTGTTCATCGTTACTGCATTTTGTAGCATTTTAAGTGCTAAACTTAATTTTTAAAGCAAAAAATAACTCGAAAATCTGACGTGCATGGTCAATTTTGAAGCCGGATTCGGATTCAGCACGTTGAAAACCTTCAGAAAAATGTTGTCAGATTCTTGGAAAGTAAATTGAATCAAATTTTGTTGCTTGTGTTACAATTTCTTAAAATAGCTTAAATAAATAACGTTTTAAACACTAAAGATCAATTTCAGTCATTTTTCCTATGATTTTGAGAACTGAGATTAAACATTCTGCAAAATAGACATACGATTTTTCTCAAAACAAAATAAACACTGCAGCTTATTAAAATAATGGAAATAAAGAAAAATACGTAGACATCGACGAGTTCTGCTTTCCACCAAGGCATGTCCATTGATGGTGATCGTAACGAATTTGCGCCATTCCTTATAATGTACTCGATCCAAAAAACTGCTGTGTCTGTTGCACTCATAGGTCGATCTCGAAATAATTGAGATTCACGTTTCGTAGCTTCTCTGCAATAATTAATTGCAAAAATTATATATTTTTATATCATTTAAAACAAAAATATTTTGAAACAACTTTTTCACATTTCATTTTGTTTCTAGAACTTATTTTCAGATGAATTTTTATGTCTTTGACTTCTTATTTAAAAGAAATTTCATTTAACCGAAATTCTGTACTACAGGATTAGATAAAATAGTCGATTTAAAAAAAATTTATTTTCAGAAAGTGTATTAAAAACAATTCTTTTCCAGACCAATTTTCAATTGTTCGAATTTACATTAACAGAATTTTTATTTTTATTCTAAAAATTCTAAATTTTTATTTTAAAAAACTTTCAATTAGCCAAAGATATATCTGATCAAAAATGTAAGAGTAAATTTTAATGTTAACCTATCATAATTTCGTTGATAAATTTTTATTTTTTAATTTTAAAATTAGCGCACCAATAAAAATTGTTTTAAATCATTACTATTTTGTCTAATGATAATTCGAGCAAATGATTATCCTTTATAAAAATTAATTACTAAAAATAATTACAGATATAATTATTAGGATAACTACTAGGATAATTACTTGCACATCTTGGTTGCCTGCTCAATCAGTCAAGATGTGCAAGTCCCTTGAGAATTCTGCTAAATTAATATTCAGTTAAATTAGAATTTTTTAAATAAAAAGTTTGATTCTGTTAAATAAAAATTCTGTCAAACAAAATTTTGGTACCTAAAAATGTTGTTTGCATAAAAATTAAAATTCTTCCTGAAATAACAATTTAAACTAGTTTTATGCATATTTCAATTTTTTTAAATATTTATAATTGAAATAACGTACCGATACTTCGGATCATGAAGAACCGCAAGCAGAGCATTATTCAAAGATTTTTCATTAATATCTTTGTAATCCATTTCGTAAGCAACATTTTTGTCAGAAAGTAGCCGGACGTTTAATAGCTGATCGGCAAATAATGGAAAACCAATCATAGGCACAGCAAAATAAAGGCCTTCTTGAACACTATTTAATCCTCCATGTGTCATAAATACTTTTATATTTTTGTGTTCTAATGAAAAAAATTCGAAACGTCATTAATTTCTTGCAATTTTTAATCAATTAAAGAATTTTTGTTTAAAATTTTTTATTTATAAAATTTATCTTACTTAAAACCGGAATCTGAGGAATCCACGACATCGTCATTACATTTTTCGGCAAACCTGGTGGAAGTTTTTCTTTATTTACAATTTTTATAAGAAATCGAATTGGTGCTAATTTTTCAAATGCCCCATAGATTCCTAATAAAATTTCTTTTGGAAAATCTTCGATAATAACCATAGATCCTAGAGAGAAATACACTACTCCATCAGTACTTTCATCCATCCAAACTTTTAATTCCTGTATTTACAGAAAATATCAATTTAAAAAATTCAGATTATTGAAAATTTAAACTTAAAAGTATGTATAAAAATATATAAGACTTTTACTTTCAAATTATTTGCGGTTTAAAAATTTTAATTTTTACGAATACAGTAATCTGGTCTATATTTTAAAAAATTTTGATCATTCTCGGTCAAAATCTTGTTATAAATTAAAATTATACAGGTTTTTAAAATTTTTTAAACTGTTCTAAAAGTCTATTTTAATTAGATTTGCACTTACAATTCAATAAAAAATGAAATTTTTACCCTTATAAATATTTTACAATTTCATTAATCTGGAAAGTCTTAATTCTACTTAAGTTGAAAAACCTTTTAATTCTTTTAACTAAGAAGATTAATGTGTATAAAAGTTAATAAGTATCAACAATGTTTTTTTAAAGAAACGTCATAATATAAATAATTAATTGGATGTTATTCTTTGAACATTTCTAAAAAAAGTGGACTAGTCTAGTTAAAGAATATTTATTTTTAACAATTTTTTAGTAAACGTACAAAAGAATGTTTTTTAAAAAATTAAAAAAAAAGTTTAAAAAATTTCAAAAACTTTGTTAATTAATACTATAATAATATTGAAATAAAGTTTAATCATTAATTTTAAACTGAGCATACCGGTGTCATTTTTGTTTCACTGAGTTCAATTTGAATGCCAGCAATTTGAACCACCGCGGGAATTTGAGGTTTTATACCAAAGAAACTCTGATGGGCATTGGTTAGATACAGAGCTGCCTTCTTCTCAATTTCTCTAATATTTGGTACATCCGAACTTAAATATTTTTCCATAGCAATGGTTTGTTTTTCTTCTGTATATTTAAAAAATCTGTAATTTTTGTAATGAGTCCAAAAGTGATTTTTTACACGATCCCAAAATGTTACAATTTGAAAGTTCTTTGTCTCAAATTTAACTGAGTAAGCGTTAGACATTGGGTTTCCTAGTATCTCATCAAACCATACAATTTCCGTTACAGCTGACACAATGACAACTGGAACTTTTAAAACATGTCCAAATCCAAAGAAGCAATTTGCTGCAAAAGCCTGAAAATTATAGTTAATGATTAACGATAAATAAAAATTTGAAATAACATTATAGGATAAAATGAGAAATATAATATAATTTTGTAAAAACAAACATAATTTTGTGTATCATATTATTACACTGTTACTAACTATTATATAAATAATCTACCCAAATAGCACGGAAACTTGCTGCAAGTTTGCAGTGCAAGGTTTGAAAGTTTGTAAAGTAAGTTTGCAGCAAACTTGTGGCAAATATTGAAATGTCCTCCCTTGGCAAGTTTGCAGCAAAAACTTTCTGCAAACATGCTAAGCAAAATTGTCGAAAAGTTTCAAGAACAATTTGTAGCAAAATTGCGCTGAAAATTTTTAGAAATTTTAAAATTCAAGTTTTAGTAAAATAAATATTTAATAGTTTTATGGAAAATTATTTTCTCATATTAACTTATCGTTAATTTCTTTTAAATTTAAATAATTAAATCACAGAATAGAAAAGGAGAAATAACGAAACAAGTTATTAAAAGAAGATCTTTATTTCAATGATAATGTACACATGGAGAAATTTTTTACAGAACATTTAACAAATATTTTCAAATGTATAAAGTCACTATAAATTAAAAAAATTTTCTTTCAAACAATTGTTTCGTTATTTCTCCTTTTCTATTCTGTGATTTAATAATTTAAATTCAAAAGAAATTGACAAAATAATTTTCCATAAAACTATTAAATATTTATTTTACTAAAACTTCCATTTTAAAATTTAAAAAAATTTTCAGCGCAATTTTGCTACAAATTGTTCTTGAAACTTTTCGACAATTTTGCTTAGCATGTTTGCAGAAAGTTTTTGCTGCAAACTTGCCAAGGGAGGACATTTCAATATTTGCCACAAGTTTGCTGCAAACTTACCTTACAAACTTTAAAACCTTGCACTGCAAACTTGCTGCAAGTTTCCGTGCTATTTGGGTACCTACTAATAAAAATGATTTTATATTTTAACTAATACCATTTTCTAATTTTTGTCAAGTTAATATCTCAAATGGTACACTAAAGTTTTCAAAAAGTACCATCCACCGGAGTACTATGGTAGAAAAATCGTAATTTTTGTCTTCTATGCTTAACCAAAATTATAATCTATATAGAAAAATCATTTTAACTACATATTTAGTCGTCTTATGGACATCCTTCTAAAGATTTTCTCTAAGTTTCACATATTAGACAAGAAATTTTTTTATCTGAGTTATATATAAATACAAAGTTTGTATAGTAATAATTACACTAGTTTACAAAATTCTATTTAACCGATATTTCTTATGTAAACTGACCCACTAAATCCGAAAATGAAGTCCAAAAGTAAGAAAGTGCAATTACTAACTAGGGATTCAACGGGTAAAACGAACAGTTGTCGGTGACAAGTTATCGATTTGGCTCAAATTTTTTAGGCGTATTCTACCTCTAAAAATACTCAACTAGCCAAAGTTTCAAGACCCTATCTCATAAAGAACACTCACAATCGTTAATTTCGTGAAAAGTGACATCTTTCAAAATGAAGATTGAAAAATCCATTTCTGCTCGAAAAAATGTTAATTTTGGTCAAAAAAAAAAATTGGAAAGGTACTAGTCGATGGGAAATTTTCCAAAGAATCAAATTCCGTTGGAATTTTTGAGCTATCTCTAAACACATGCGCAGTACATTAAAAAAAACAGTTTTTTTTTTAAATCCATATCTCAAAAACACCTATTTCGATTTGGCTCTAATTTTCAGGAAAGACAACTGAAAAGCTATACTTTAAAATGGTTATACCTAAAATTTGCATATTTTGAGTTTTTAACCATTTTTATGCAAAATAGTGATCTAATTCAAAATTTTTCAAGGTTTCCTTACAGTATTTGCTTTTTGTGCGCATGCGCATTAAATATAGACAAAAACTAAGCACAAATTCAAAATCCTCGAAAAATTTCCTATTAGTATCTATATTCACACTTAATTTTTATTTATTCTAAACAAATTTTAACCGAAAAAACAAATACAAGTTATAATTAAGAGAATTATAAATATGAGAGTATTTCAAAAAAATTTGTTTTTTACGTTTATTTTTTCAACTTAACATTTTTTTCAGTTTGGGAAATTATTAATTGTTGATGAAAGATATTTTGTACAAAGAATTATTTATAATTCTTTGTACAAAATATCTTACGTTTATTAATTAATAATTGTTGATGAAAGATATTTTGTACAAAGAATTATAAATAATTCTTTTTTAATGTACTGCGCATGTGTTTAGAGATAGCTCAAAAATTCAAACTGCATTGGATTCTTTGAAAAATTTCCCATCGACTAGTACCTTTCCAATTTTTTTTTTTTTACTAAAATTAACATTTTTTCGAGCAGAAATGTATTTTTCAATCTTCATTTTGAAAGATGTCACTTTTCACGAAATTAACGATTGTGAGTGTTCTTTATGAGATAGGGGCTTGAAACTTGGGCTAGTTGAGTATTTTTAGAGGTAGAATACGCCTAAAAAATTTGAGCCAAATCGATAACTTGTCACCGACAACTGTTCGTTTTACCCGTGGAATCCCTCTAACATAATTTTTAAACTTACATTTATAAAAAAATGATCACATGTGCACCAAGAGAAATCATATATTTGTCTCAGGAGCAAAAAAAATATTTATTTGTACAAAAGTAAATTTTTTTATTTGACACAAATAAAGAGTTATTAGGCTCTGAGACAAATATATTTCTATTTGATTCAAATAAATGCAAATAAAATATTTCTCTCGGTATGAAATTAATTAATTTACAAACCTCTACAATGACCAAATCGTATGGTGGATTATTTGGTGGATTTTTAATAAATTTCTGCATTTTGTCCAGAGCCATTAATTCACATAAGTTGTTTCCAAAACCTTTGACTAATGTTGGAACTAAATCAGCATGTCGAAAATGTTCTACCATTTCCAATGTCCAAGTGTTAACTGCTTTCTTTAGTGATCCATCCAAATTGATAATTGTTGTATAATTTTTTGGTGGATTTTTCATTTCGAAATGTGAAATAACGTCAACTTGATGTCCTTTTAATGCTAAAGCTTTACCGACAGTTTCTAACATATTACTATGACTTTTTGAATTGAAGGGAGCAATTACAAGTATTCTGTACGCATCACTGTTTAAACTAACTAAATATATTAAAAATAGTCCAAGGTAGAAATTATTAGAAACCATTTTTATGTACTTTTATTAATCACTAATAATAATCATTACAAATAACTCTTCTTTATGTTTGTTGTTAAATTGACCAATTTTATAAAGTACGCATCTTATTAAATGCATTTTTATATAGTATGCATATTCACTATCTTATCAAAGGTAATTAAAAAGTGATTCTTAAAATCTTATTTAATTTGTAGCAAACAAAAATGAATGTTTTCTAAAGTGATATATAATGTAAGTTATTGTTAATTTTTGATAAGTTTTGAAAATGAAACTGATTCAAAATTTTGTAACCACTGCTATTAAAGAAAAGTTAGTTAGCCTCACAACAACCTTGCCTGGCAAGTCTAAGGCAATATTGAGAAAATATTACACTGCAAGTTTGAGGCTATATTGCGCTACAATATTGAGAAAGTATTACACCCAAAGTCTGAGGCAATATTTCTTGTGCAATATTGCCAGGTAACATTACATTGTAACATTGAGATAATTTTGAGGTAATATTACAATGACTTTTAGTTTAACGAAAAAATGGACTCATGGTAGGAATAGATCCCTGAACCTGTTGCGCATGAGTCCTGAGTTTAACCAAAGAGTACTTATAGTATATTTAGATTATTTTAGAAATATACTTTAGTTTGTTTCTTCCTAAAAGAAAAAACCGCTGTAATATTGACTCAATATTGCGTTAATATTACCTAGCAATATTGCCTCAGACTTGCCGTGTAATATTTTCTCAATATTGCAGAGCAACATTGCCTTAAACTTGCCATGCAAGTTTGTTGTTAGGCGGAACTATTCAATCTTGCACGAACCTTGCCTGAATATTTCAATGTAATATTTCCAAACTTAACATGCAATACCGTGTCAAGTTCCATGTAAGAAATTGCGCTTTCTGGGTGTCGACCGGTTTCTTTTCTTTCTTTGGTGTTTCTACCGGTTAAAATTTCGAACATTTAGTATGTCGACTTAATAAATTTCTATCATTTGGAATGTTGACTTTTTAAAATTTTTGGGGAAAAACCATGTACCTCATCTATTTAATATACAGCGTCAAACAGTTCATTTAATGATTATGTTTAAAATAAGAACTAGGGTAGGTGTACCAATTGTCGATGATTTTAGACAACATGTGACTTTGATATTTTTTTTCTCAGGAGTAAATGTACTTTTTAAATGTAAATTGAGCAAAATAGCCATTTGTCGATGGTCATGTACCAATTTCTCGAGGTTCGGTTCTAATTCTCGATGGTATTGAATTTTTTTACCATATAACCTAACAATTAATGAATTAACTTTTACCAGTATTTACAAAATCTAATAAATATTTATTTTTCAAATCAAAATGTAATAGAACATTGGCATGAAACAATTTTACTTATTTAACTGTAAGTTTATAGTTTATACAAAAAATAATTAACCTATAAAAGTTTTGCATCACTGACGTTAATAAACAAAAACTTAACCAACTTTATTTTGCATTTTTTTCAATCGAAGCATCGACAAATGGTACATCAGCTTAAAAACTGACTGTAACAATTTCTTAGGTGAATTAAAATAAAATATAGATTCCACTGTAAGTTTCTAATCTCTTACGTATATTAACATTGTATTTTGAGCAAATTTAATGTTTAATTTAATTTTTCCCGTCAAATAGAATATCATTTCTCTAACCAACTGAGTGTTGATATGTGTATCAATAAAAAAATGGTCTAACAGTTATCGTTTTCACCCTCTTATGATGCTAACTAAAAATCGTTAAAAATAAAATAAATAAATTTTAATCCTTTTTTCTGTGATTCTTAAAACTGGAATTTAAAATACTGCAAATTAGACTAGAAATTTTTCTCAATACAAAATAAACGCTGTAGCTTATTAAAAGAATGGAAATAAAGAAAAATGCGTATACATCGACAAGTTCTGCTTTCCACCAAGGCATGTCCATTGCTGGTGATCGTAATGAATTTGCACCGTTTCTTATAACGTACTCGATCCAAAAAACTGCTGTGTCTGTTGCACTCATATGTCGATCTCGAAAAAGTTGAGATTCACGTTTTGCGGCTTCTCTGTAATAATAATTAATTACAAAATTCGAGGTTTTTGTAACATCTTTTAACTAACGATGTGTCCGGAAACGGTACTAAAATGAATTATAATTTTGTTCCGTTCCGTGTCAGAGGCATGAAACAAAATTACTTAAGGAATTTGTTTTGTGTCCCGGCACGATACACAATAAGAGGTAATTATATTTCGTGCTGAGGAACGGAACAAAAATAGATAGAAATTATATTTCGTTCCAAGCTCAAAAACAGAAATACATAGAAATTTTATTTCGATCTAACACATTAGCGATGGTATATTCATATGGGACTGTTTACAAAATACGTAACGCTTCCAGGGGGGAGGGGGGGTCAAGCTATTTGTTATGGACAGCCTGATACCGGTCACTGTGTGTTGAGGGAAAGTGACGAGCTCAAAGGTTAGCCTAAAACTAAAAAGTGTCGAACCAGCAGTGGCCAGGGAGAGTTCCTGGTGTCGGGCGCTCGAACCCAAGCAGGGTTCAGAGCGCTGTCCCCAAGAGTCTCCCAATAATTCGTGGAGCGACTGCTGTCGAGGATTAAATTTCAAGTTTAAAGAACAAAAATAATTCCTACGATTGACAATTTGCCCTGAAAAGGACTAATTGTCAATGTTTTTCCCGTTGAAATGGTTGTCCTGAAAAGGACAGATTGTTGTGTTGGTGTGTGATGGTCTTTCACGGCCAGTGAAAGAAGTAACTAGTCGATGGTTTCCCAGAATAAAATAGTATTTATTCAAAAAATTTCCCTGTGGAGAACGGCAGGCAGTTGACGGTTGGCAGGCGATTGAGAGAAGATGGCGTCGGAAGGTGACGCGGCGGCTTGGGTCTCACGGCAGTGAGACGCGTGGAGCGGCAGCGTGGCTGGAGTCACGTTGAGAGTTGGCGAAGAAGAGAGAGCGAGTCTCAAAAACTCGCTGTATTTATGTAGCGTGGAGAGAAGAGTCGCGCGAGGTACCCTCTCTCCAAATTGTGAGGGCCAATAGAGGCCTTATTTTTCCCCCACCATGCGGAGCATGTGGAGTGCGGAGAAGGGGAAGAAGCGAGAATCAGTCGAGCGCGGGAGCTCATAGCGACAAGACGTCGCTATAATTGCAGAGCGAGAGAGAGAGAGAGAGAGAAAGATTTACTGTGCCTTTATGCCATGCCGTCAACTTTGTACCGAACTCCGGTACAAATAGCTAAAGTTTTAAACTAAGTTAAAATATATTATAATCATAATATTTCTTAAGGTTATATTTGATATTTTACCGAATATATTGTAAAAATATATTAGTTAAAATTATAATATATCTTAATAAATATTATGTGCAATGATAAAATTATTATTCCTCCGCACAAAAGTGGGTGTCAAAATGATATTTTAAAGAATCTTCCGGTGTTTTCTGATGTTTGATAAATTTAACAATAAAATGCTAAATTTTGTCAAACATCATATAACCCGGAATATAACCAACTATAACAAGCCAAAGAAATGGCGCTAATGTATGTAACTAAGCTTGACATGGGGAGGGGGGGTTGAAATTTCAAAAAAAGCGTTACGTATTTTGTGAACAGCCCCTATACTGGGTAGGCCATCTGTGTTGACACTTCTCTTCTTCCATCCTAAGTATTTATTTTATAGTTTTAAAATACAACTTTTCTGAATTCGTTTCTTCTTTTTTATCAATTGCAATAAAAAGTAATTTTGTTACCTATTTACTTTTGTTTCAATTACCGAATCAAAAGTAAATTTGTATGGACTTTTGTTTCTATCAGGGAACCGAAAGTAATGTCAAGTAGACTTTTGTTTCGATCACCAAATCAGAAGTAAATTCGAATTGACTTCTGTTTCTATCAGGAAGTCGAAAGTAATGTCAAGAAGACTTTTGTTTCTTTATTAAATCAAAATACATTCATAATTTTATTTCGTTTTCGAATATCGAAACGAAATCAAAATTCGACTTTCGTGAATGTCTCTGGTTTTTGGGGTCGCTAATTAAGAATCTGATATCAGTTTTTAAAAAATTTAAAATGGCGGAACCATTATGTCAGACGATTTTTTAAAAAAAATTATCGGATTTACATGAAACTCGTTAGCGGTTATTGGGGTCTCTGATTACGAATCCGATATCAGTTTTCAAAATGGCGGATCCAATATGATGAATAATTTTTCAAAATGTTATTTATTATTAATATGAATATTTTGATTAAATCTGTTGAATATTAATTATTTTCTATAATGTAAGTGATTTATAACCCTAATAGCATTCAGACATTCAATATATCCTGTTGACGTCCTAGAGATATCCGGAAATTTGGATATACCTAGAACGTCCATAGGATATCTTGAATATCCGGATGCTGTTAGGGAATAATAATTGAGAAAAAAGTTAAAGAATATTTGCTCAAGTAGCACGGTAAATTCCCTGATTATCCGTTGAGTACCACCGTGGAATATTCTCATGATCTTCTAGGAAAATCAAAATGTCCGCATCATGGGAATATTCCACAGTGACATTAAGAGTATATTCCAGTGACATTGAGGGAATATTCCTCGGTGACATTCATGGAATATTACAGTGACATTAAGGGGATATTCAGGTGATATTGAGAGAATATTCCACGGTTATATTGAATTTTTTTTAAATGTGTTTTTAATCTTCCTGCTTATTTAAATAACAATTTATAACACAGTTTTATTATTTCAACACTTTTAAAAAAAATTCAATATAACCGTGGAATATTCCCTCAATATCACTGGAATATTCCTTTAATATTACCTTCAATGTCACTGGAATATTCCCATGATGCGGACATTTTGATTTTCCTGGAAGATCATGGGAATATTCCACGGTAGTATTCAAGGGATATTCAGGGGATATACCGTGCTGCTTGGGTGATGATTTATATATTTTCTTGATAGTACCCGGTTATGATAGACCCTGTATATTTAGTCTATATCTATTTTATTTATTTACTATATATAAAATTTCCAATTCCTATGAAATCTTTGAATATAATATATAATGTATAATAGATAATATGTTCTTAAATTTGTGAGATGATATACTTGTGTGTAAGGACACTTAATGTAAACAGGCCCGATAATCTGTCCCCATTTATTGTTGTTTACGTATTTGGAACGAAATAAAATTCCCAAATAATTAATTTTATTCTGTGCTTATAGCACGAAAATAAATGCCTCTATATTTTTGTTTCGAATTAAATATACAACAATTTTCGTTCCGGGCCTTGGCACAGAACTGAATATATAAACATTTTCGTTTCGTGTCTTGGCACGGAATTAAATATATAACCATTTTCGTTTCGTGCCTCGTCACAGAAGGGGCCGTCCAGATACCACGTGGACAATTTTTCATCACTTTTTGACCCCCCCCCTCCCCCCTCGTGGACAATTGTGGACTTTTGACGAACCCCCCACCCCCTAAATGTCCACGTGGACTTTTTTTGTTGAAAATTTTTTGTTTGTATGTTTCTTATTTTAAAATGGTAAATAAATAGATATTTAATAGTTATTAGAAAACTTTTAGTCACTGTTTCTTTTAATTATAAAAATAATTTTCAAGTTTACTGCTAGTAAACTTAAAATTTTGCTATGCAAAATAACATTTTTGGTTGAATCACATAACAATCACATTGGTAACACATCTTAGAATAACGTTTACCAACTAAATACCATTATTTTTTGGTATCGTGAAGATATTTTTGGCAAAAATATTTCAAATTACTCTACAAACTAAAAATACATAAATTTTTTTGGCAACAAATCTTAAATTATCGATCACTATAGCTAAAAATACAATGTATGGTAGAATTAAAATATTTATGCCAGGAATATCTGAAAATTATCGTATAAAATAAAAGTAGGTAAATCTTTATGGTAACAAATCTTAAAATAATATCGAAAAAACCACAAATCTACTAATCGTCATCTATATTATCATTGCTGATCCATGGTTGTGTTAACCATTCGGCAAGATTATCAGTTGCGAAAAAATCAATGGAGCTCTTTGAAGTTACATTATTTTCCATCTCTACACAAGACACTTCAACAAGTTCCGTTTCTTCATCCCAATCCTCTGTATTTCTTTTACGTTGATTTTTATATAATATTTTAACGTGAGTAGTTAAGTGCGACTTTGCGGAAAAATAAAGGCCACATTCACTACATATGCGTTTTAAAATTTTAAAAACAGTCTGTTAGTTGATTGAAGTATTTTGAGTCAATAGCAGTTTCAAAATTCAAGATGTATTTCAAATCAAAATTTGTTACGCTGAGTATCAAAATTTTTATCGGAGTCCTATCTGTGGAATCTTTTTAAGGGATCACTTACCTTGCAGTACAGGTAGTACTGAAGGGCAGTACAAATCATAAGGGAGATTTTGAGGTAGATCATTCACAGTAGGTCTTAAATTCATTAAAAATGAAATTGTAATTTATGAGAATTCGGCTTTAGGCGGGTTTGTTATGATTTTTCACGTGTAGCACACCAGCCGGCTATATTGATTCGATAAAACTCGAACGAAATCGATAAAAATATCGAATGACTTGCGCAGCGCTGCATAATACACTGGCGCGAAAATTAAAAGAGGGATAAAAAACAATAAATAAAATTTCATTTTTACTGGGTCCACGTGGATATTTGCTTTGACCCTCCCTCCCCCCCTCGTGGACAATCGTGGACTTTTGACGTACCCCCCTCCCCCCAAAACTGTCCACGTGGTATATGGACGGCCCCGAACTGAATACACATATACTTTCGTTCCGTGCCTTAGCACGGAACTAAATATATAACCATTTTCGTTTTGTGCCTCGGCACGGAACTGAATATACAACCATTTCCGTTCCTTTGCACGGAACTGAATATGTAACCATTTTTGTTCCGTGGCACGGAACAGACCAAAAATAGTATTTCCAGAAACATCCCTGCTTTTAACACGACTTTTCAAAGTATTTTTTTGAATCGGAATGATTTTACTCGCTCACATTAAATTATATACAGTACAAGTCCGTTAAGTTTCAGAGTTCAGGGCTGTAGGAGTGGAAAATTCTAGGAATTGGTAACTCAACCGATGTCCCTTCTGAGTGACAAAGTTTTATGTGCGCATATGTTTAGAAAATTTGAAAATTACGTGTACGTGAGCAGGCGCCGTAGTGGGGACATATAACACCGTCCGACAGAATTCAACTTTTTTTGAGCCACAAAAAAATCCAACATTTTCGGAAACTAGGACCAAAAAAATATACGCCGTGTCAGGCCGTTTTGCTAGATCAAGTCGTTTGTGGTTTTTAGGGGTAAAAAGAACCCCTAAATGGTAAGTGACAAGATATCTTTTAAAAATAGCAAAATTTAAGGTGATATATAATAAAATCGTATTCTTTACGTCAAAATAAATCGATTGGTATGTATGAAGTAAAGATTTGATTTAAATTTAAAGAATTAATGAAAGTTAAAAAATTAAAAATTCTCATTTTAGCTATAAAATTTTGTGTATTTTTAAATTCAAGTGTATACATAAAATATTTTTATTCCTTGCATTAAATCGAATCGATTGGTGTATATAAAGTAAACATTTGCTTTAAATTTAAAGAATAGGCCTTAAAAAAATTGACAAATGTCCGACATGATATATAATAGAATTGACATTTAAACGACATGACGCTTAACATAACTGTGAAATGTCCGACACGTCATACAACAGAATTGACAAATGTCCGACATGACATATAACAGAACTGTCACTCTCAGGCTAACCCCGTGGAAAGGAGCAATCGATCGCAGAAAACGTTGATTGCTACCTTTGTAGGGTCGGAACACCGTGATTAGGACAAGCATGTGCACCAATTTCGTCATGGAGTCAACTTTGTTATTCAAGCGACTACGAAGGTATCACCAGTGTTTCTTAATTTTGGTAGGCAATCTGAGGAAAACTAAAATTGTAATTTTTAAAAAATGAAACCTAAGACAGTACCTAAATTTTTGTACGGCGAAGAAACAATATAAATTGTAATCAATTACGAATACTTAGGCATCCCGTTTGCAAGCACATGTACATTTATAAAAGCAGCAGACAAAATAACAGGCTCGGTAAAACTTGCAGCGGCTTCGGTTAACAAAATAATTGATAGTACAAGTATGATTTTTGGAAAACGACAGAAACTTTGTTTAATAGTTTAGTAAAAAAAAATTATTATATAATGTCAATCTGGAGACCAAAATATGTAGAGATGATAGAAAGGGTTCAATTGGGTTTCTTTAAATACTGCCTTCGAGTGGTAACAAACATGTCAAACTATGCCTTCAGAATGGAGATTGGGAAAATTTTACTCGAACTAGAGATTTTTAAAGCAGTTGTAACATGGATTGACAAACTAATGAAAATAGAAGAAACTAGATATTCAAAAATCTGTTTTGTAAAACTTAAAAATATCAATGAAAAAATAAGGGCAAATATTATCGGATAAAACAAATTAAAGAAATCTATGATAAATGTGATATGGGATTTATTTGGGAGGAAAGGAATCCTATGTATGGACTTTTTAGTTCTAAAACATTATACAGTAAATAATAATTAAGTTTGCTTACCGATACTTGGAATCGTAAAGAACTGCACGAAGAGCTTTATTCAAAGATTTTTCGGTAATATCTTTGTAATCCATTTCATAAGCGACATTTTTGTCAGCAAGCACTCGGATGTTTAATGGTTGATCGCCAAATAGTGGAAAACCAATCATTGGCACAGCAAAATAAAGACCTTCTTGAGCACTATTTAATCCGCCATGTGTCATAAATACTTTTGTATTTTTATGTCCTAAAAGAAAAAAATTAAAACCTGTGTAACGTTACAAAATTCTTGTTTAAACCGTAATAATAAATAAACTAATTGTCCAGTTAAAAGAAAATATTGTTTCCTAAAAGATTACGCTTTAAAAAATATAATTACCCTATTGAAAAAAAACACGTATAATTGTACGTATAATAATACGTATAATTATACGTATTATTATACGTATAATTATAATTCTATTAAAAATAGAATAATAGAATAGAATAGATTAATTAGTAGCAAAATTGCGCTGAAAATTTTTAAAAATTTTAAAATGCAAATTAAATTTCACAAAAAAATATCGTCGAATGTCAATTCAAGCAGTCACCCATCCAAGTACTAACCGCGTCCAACGTTGCTTAACTTCTGTGATCTGATGAGAACTTGTTCCTTCGCCTTGGTGTTTCCGCTGTCTTGTCTTGATTAATAACTTTGTCGTATAAGTATTGTATCGCACCTAACCTCACTTTTAGTGATACTTATACGACAAAGTTATTAATCAAGACAAGACAGCGGAAACACCAAGGCGAAGGAACAAGTTCTCATCAGATCACAGAAGTTAAGCAACGTTGGACGCGGTTAGTACTTGGATGGGTGACTGCTTGAATTGACATTCGACGATATTTTTTTTTGTGAAATTTAATTTGCATTTTAAAATTTTTAAAAATTTTCAGCGCAATTTTGCTACTAATTAATCTATTCTATTCTATTATTCTATTTTTAATAGAATTATAATTATACGTATAATTATACGTATAATTATACGTATAATTATACGTATAATTATACGTATAATTATACGTATTATTATACGTATTATTATACGTATAATTATACGTATTATTATACGTACAATTATACGTATAATTATACGTACAATTATACGTATAATTATACGTATTATTATACGTATTATTATACGTATAATTATACGTGTTTTTTTTCAATAGGGTAAATATAAATTCTGTATTTTATCGAATTAAGTAGAATATATCAAATAATTATGTGTTTTGTTTCAACATTGTTTTAACCACTTGAGTACTATAAAATTACAGTAAAACCTACGTATATCAAAATTGAAGAGACCAAAAAATTTATGTGACGTAGGCAGAAATTCGAGTCGACCGAGTCGAAAACTTAGTTATTATGAACCAAGGGACCGTAAAAAATATTCAATATAAGCGGAAATCAGATTTATGTGGGTTTAATATGCGGAAGTTTTACTATACTAACTATTAACTTTAGTAATTAACCTTAGAAGGTGAAAGTGGGGTGTCTATATACCCTCTGTATAATATTCAAAGTACGCTTCTGAGTTAACCAATCCTATTTTCGCGTCGGACCCCTAACAAAACACTAGCTCATAATAATCTTGTCATTATAATTACAACTTTAATTACTCAATTATTTGTATGTCTAAACCAAAAACTGTTTTAATTATTTAAATTATTTTTTAAATTTAAAAATTATGCAATACATTTTTTTAACTGATTTTTAAAAATATTGTATTTATTTATTTAATATATTGTATTATATATCATATAAATAATAATTCAATTCTAAGTGAAAAACTTTAAGGATTTCTAACTTGACAAATGCATGTTTCATATTGACTGAAACATCTTTGACAGTTAGTAAACTACCTATGCTTTTTGCAAAATGACACGTTTCATTCATTTTAAAACAGTCAGTTTACAAACTGTCCGCGGTTTGCAAACTACCAGATTTTACCAACTACCTACGACACATATATACACTTATTTTTCTACGGGGAAGACTTCTGAAACATTCTAAGTGAAATTTCACTTATTCAGATTTAGAGAGTAGACTGTTGAAAAGTAAATATCGTTAATATTCACGATTTACGGGCGTATAATACTGTTAGTTTAGTAAAACAATATACATCTTACGTAGAACTGGAATCTGAGGAATCCACGACATTGTCAGCACATTTTTCGGCAAACCTTCAGGAAGTTTATCTTTATTAACAATTTTCATGAGAACTCGAATTGGTGCTAATTTCTCAAAAGCCGCATAGAGTCCTAGTAAAATTTCTTTTGGCAAATCTTCGATAATAACCATAGATCCTAGAGTGAAAAACACGACTCCATGAGTACTTTTATCCATCCAAATTTTCAACTCCTGTATTTACAAAAAATATAATAGTTGACAAATATTTTAATTTTAGATGTGAAAATTTGTGCTCTAGAAACAGTAATAAGTATGAAAAAATGGGAGTAAATACTTCAGTTTATGTTAATTTTGTCATTAGAAATTCTTTCCAAGAAAAATTATAATATTATCTGTTTTTAAGATATCGCGTATAAAAAGTATAATAAAATTTTAAATCTCAGATAAATTATAAAGATTAACAATTATTTTATTTTAAAGAAAATCCAGTATTTATTAATATGAAAAAATAACCACAAATCTCTGTTGAATTTTGATAAATTAAATTTCGGTTAAATTCAATTAGAATTCTTTTAAATCAACAGTTGGAAAAGCGAAATTCTGTAAACCGAAAGTTCTGTTAAATAAAAATTCATTTAAAAAGAAATTCTATCGTGTGCTGATATAAAGAAATCAAAATTTGGCTAAAAAAATTATAATGAAATTCGTTCAATTGAAAATTCTATCTAATAAATTACATTGTCTATTCATGTGGCCCGAAAATGAACAACCATACCGGTGTCAATTTTGTTTCACTGAGTTCAATTTGAATGCCAGCAATTTGAACCACCGCGGGAGTTAAAGGTTTTATGCCAAAGAAACTCTGATAGCCATTGACTAGAATTAGAGATGTCTTCTTCTCAATTTCTCTGATATTTGGTATATCCTGACTCAAATATTTTTTCATGGCTAGGGTTTGATTATCCTCTGTATATTTGAAAAATCGGTAGTTATTATAATGAGCCCAAAAATGATTTTTCACTCGATCCCAAAATGTAACAACTCGTGAATTCTTTGTCGCAAAGTTAACTGCGTAAGCGTTAGACATTGGATTTCCAAGTATTTCATTATACCATAAAAATTCTGTTAAAGCTGACACCATGACAACTGGAACTTTCAAAATGTGTCCAAACCCAAAGAAGCAATTTGTTCCAAAGGCCTGAAAAATTATTTAATTCTACTATGAATAAATATTTTTGATAATAACTAATGTTCATTAACTTATATTTATAATTTAAAGTGAATAGCATAAGGTTTTCAAATTAACATTTATTAGTCAATCTATTATATTTCGACAAAGGTAGTATTAATATTTAAAAATTATAATACTTTGCAGGAATTATTATTATTATTATATTATATTATATTATATTATATTATATTATATTATATTATATTATATTATATTATATTATATTATATTATATTATATTATATTATATTATATTATATTATATTATATTATATTATATTATATTATATTATATTATATTATATTATATTATATTATATTATATTATATTATATTATATTATTATTGACTGTAAAAGATTAAGACATAACCATTCTGGCGACCAAGAAAATTATTTTTAGATATTTGAAATTGTCGGTGTGAACGTTCATGAACGACTAAAGTAAATCATTTTATAACCAACAATTATTATTTTGTGTGAATTCAATTTGACAAATAGAACATTACTTTTTAAAACCAACAATTATTTATGCAAGCAAAATCACCGAAAATAATATTTATTATAAAGAAACTATTATTATAATTTAGTACCTGAAAATTAGCTCCGATAAATTAATAATATAAACATACCGAAAAGTACTAAAACAGTACCGATTTTATGTACCAAATGACAATTTAGTACCTAAAGTCGGTATTAAATTAATACCTTTCTTTTTTACAGTGAGTCATCGTTCAATTTATTTTTCATATTTTAATTAAGACGACCGAGTGATAAATTCAATTATTTATTTAATAATGAAAATAGTTAATTTTCAAACCTCTGTAATGACCAAATCGTATGGAGGATCATTTGGTGGATTTTTAATAAACCTCTGCATTTTCTCCAATGCCATTAATTCACAAAAGTTGTTTCCAAATTCTTCAATTATTTTCGCAACTATATCAACATGTCGATAATGTTCTACCATTTTAATTGTCCAAGTATTTACCACTTTTTTCAATGAACCATCCAAATTCATAATTGTCGTATAATTTTTAGGCGGATTTTTCATTTCGAAATGTGAGATAACGTCAACTTGATGTTCCTTCAATGCTAAAGCTTTACCGACACTTTCCATCATATTAGTATGACTTTTTGAATTAAAGGGTGCAATTACAAGTATTCTATACGCATCACTGTATGAATTAATGAAATATATTAAAAATAGGCACAAGTAGAAATTATTAGAAACCATTTTTTATGTACTTTTATTAATCACTAATAAATAAATTCTCCACTCTACTACTTTTGTAGAACTAACCAATATTATAAAATATGCATCTTATCAAATGCATTTTTGTATAGCATGCGCTCATTATCTTATCGAGGGTAATATCGATGATTAAAATCTTATTTCCTGTATTATAAATATAAATTAAAATTATAAAATTTGATTTATCATGCTAAGTTGCATTTTTCTTTAATTGTTTTTTTATTCAAATAAACTTCATTAATCATCATTAATTTGCAAATACCATGGATTGGATAAGTTTATATTTTTAATTTTATTTTAATTTACACGAACTTTCATTATATCATAATTGACCCTTGAACCGTTCATTCCTCTGCTTTTATGTTTAGAGTTATCTCTCGTCATTTTTTATTTTAAATATTTTTTATAATCTATTTGATTTGTTGCATTACTTTTAATAATTGTATAACTATTGCGTAAAAGTTAATAAGTGAATCGAAGTATGAGAGTGAATTTCGCAAAACGACGTCATTAAATTAATTTTGATAAATTAATTATAAGGATTCAATTCTAATATAAAATAAAGTATTTTATAGAGAGTAATCTTTTTGTCTTAACAAATTTGATTTTATTTATTTGTTTCTTCAATTTTTCTAAAAATTGTTAATTTATTTCAATCTTAATATTTTCGAGTGACAGTTATTTTGAATCATTACAGGATCATTGGATAGACCTGTTGGAAATGATTACCCTCCCTACCGGAAGGGTGGTACTGGATTGGTACTGGGAAATTGGAACTGAGATCTCAGTACCAACTCAGTACTAATTTGGTGCATTTTGGTACTGAAATGGAACTGGGAAATTTACCTGCGAAAAGGGTCGAGTTACCGTTAATACCCTCATAAAAGTGAAAAGCGACTAGCTTTTTCAATATGTTTAAACTAAAACTTTATATTTATTTCAATATTATATTTGTTTTTCATGGATTTATATTATTTTCATACATTATTATGCATATGATATTTCCTTTGTCAGCGGAATTCAAAAATGATGTCCATTTTTTTATTAAACTTAAGGTATACGAGATAAATTATAACTTTTTTAAATGTAATTATTTTATGATAAATTTTAGATATTCATAATCTGGAAATATTAACGAATCTGAATATATATTTTTTAAAGTTGAGTTATTAAAATTACAAATTTTTTAAGCAATAAAACTCGGGTTAGAATTTTAATCCTTCAACAAAGGACCTAGGGGTCTATTGTTCAAGGAGGGATTGCAATATAATTTCCAAACTTTACAGAGATTTTCTACAAACTATTATGTTTTTTTTGCTGTTTTACACGTATATCGTGAGAGACGGTTTGTTGATCTTATATATCTTTAAAACTATTGTTAAAGTACTTTAAAAATGTCTTCTTGTGGGTTATCAGGTAGTGGTACTGAAGTGGAACTCAAGCCAAGTCCAATTCAGTACCATTCCAGTACCACTCTTTCGGTAGGGCTGGACGAAAAATTGATTATTATGGGAGATTTAAATGCACACACCCCGATTTTTAGCCCATATGATATCAACTCCTCTGGAAGAGCTCTTTTGCGTATCATTGAAATAAATAACTTAATTTTACTGAATGATGGCAAGCCAATGTTTGGAAATCAACGGGGTGGGACGGGAAGTGTCTTGGACATGGTCATCGTCACACCTCCGCTTAGCGTTATCTCAGAATGTTGGACTTTTTCAGATATATAAAAAGCTATCATTTTCTGGTATTTTCCACAATAAATGTGAAACTATCGAAATCTCATATACAAGCACTTTTCGGTATTCAAAATGATCATAGGTTTGTAAACGCACTGAAATGGACGACTTTCGTAAAGCTTTTACTCAAGAAAAAGCGATTAAATGGGTACAGAAACGATGGAAAATTAAATTAGGAACAAAAATGAATGATTATAATCATTTATTTTTGTTTCTAATAAATGATTATTTATTAAAGAAATGTACATTTAAAGAAAAAACAATTATTCTCATCAATTCTAACTTCTCCATTAATATCATTTCGAAAATAGTGTACTGTTGGTAATTCTACCATGCAATCCGGAAAATATGGTTTTCTACCTTACACTGGATAATAGTTTAACACAAGTTTTTCGATTTTTCAATTTCAAAAGCAATCCAAAAAGTATTTAATTAAAAGGGGAAATGGAAATTAAAAATGAGCACTATATTATGTTTAATAATTTTGGATTGCTTTTGAAATTGAAAATTTGAAAACCCCGTGTTAAATTAATATCCAGTGTCGGTAAGGTAGAAAACTATACTAAAAAGTATTATAATTTTAATACACACATTAGATTTTTATCATAAGGAATTATTTAAATAAATTATTTAAATTTTTTTTCCGGCCCTGGCTGCCTGTTATCTTAACGTGTTCAGTTACGCTCTCGTATTATTTGAACTTTTCGTGTTGTTCTGACTTTGTGCTACACGAATCATCTATTGATATAAACTCTTAGTTGCATTTGACCATTTTTTATTATAGTAGACTCATTGAGTGATAATTTCTAGTGACAGTATACTTTTTAAAAAAACTTTTAAATTCTAACCTAACTTTTTTGTCTTGTAAGAATGGGATCTAAAGGAAATGATCTAAGTACTAAAGTGTGTTTATTCTGTAACAAAACAGTTATTGATGCAATTTTTTGCAAATCCTGTACCTCTCCATATCATCGAAGTTGTGTTAGTCGCGTGAGTGTTTTGGATAGTGGTGCATTTTCTAAGTGTTGTCGCCCTCGAATACCAAGTATGTCTCAGACAGATTCTGGCAACTTTGTCTCATCTGCAACTAACGACACAGGACTGACCATTAACTGTTTGGAATCAGTCATTACTAAAGCAATTGGCGGGCTTCAATCTGAAATAAAGGGGAATTTTTCCACTTTGACGTCTTCAGTTGATAATTTATCGAAGAAATTTGACAAAATATCCTGTAAAGTTGATGAAAATATCTCCACCATCTCAGATCACTCTAAGCGCTTATCAGTTCCCGAAGGTTCTGTAGACAGTTTGAATATTAACTCTATTACTTGTGATTGCATGTCAGAAATTCGGGACTTTCTTTCTCGCTCTCGTAACTTAATTCTTTTCGGATTTACTGAAAATGGTGGAAATGACTCTAATGATCTATCACGCAATCTGTCTATCTCTGTTTCTAAATTGTTTTCAAACTTCTCCCCGCCTCCTTTACTTGAGAACTTAAAATTAATTAAAATTGATACATCTGCGCAGACTCAAGGCCAGTCAAGACCAGTGAAAATTGTTTGCAAGTCGGAGGAGAAAGTAAGAGCATTGCACGTATCATTTCTTGCTGCAAGGAGAGCCGAGAAATATCGCCCTCTCATTGCAAACATGCGTCTTTCTTAGGACAAGAAGAAGATGGAGATGGAGGAGTTGACTCTATTGCGGAAGGAATTGACTATGATACAGGAGAAGGGGGATATCCACGCTCGAATCGTTTTTCGTCGCGGTGTTCCTGTGATAATGAGTGCAGTTGTTACGTCCCGAGCTAAGGCGAGGGTGGTTTTTATTAATGAACAAAAAAGGGGAGGTAAAGTGCTGATTTATAAAGTTGGTAAATCTTGATATTTATTTTTATGTGGATTCGTATCACTTTATAAGAACAAGGGTCCTTTGTAAATAATATTATGCATATTCCCTTGTAAAATGAACAATTTATTTGACAATAATGTTTTAAAATATAATTTTACTTACAATGTTGAAAATGATTCTGGATTGTTACAATGAATGCAACCGGCTTTACATAATTGTATCGCAGGATGACAATAATTAAGTCCGTTATTTAGCACTAATGCACCAACGACTATTTAATACTATTTAAGAGTTATTTCTCGACACTGTACCTTAATACAAAAAGAATCTTGTTTCTTTAATAATCGGAAATAACTTTCATAAAATAATATTATACGACAATCGAAATAAATGAACTTATAAAATTCAATGAAAAGTACCTTCGATCTTATATAAATTATAAGATGTTACGAACCATTTGGGTACCGTAATATTTTTCATTTTTAAGCCCATATTTTGGAAATTCGGATCTCCATTAATTTTTGCGTGAATATCTGCGTACACGTATATGTACTCCTTTCTGTAAATATATATATATATATATATTAGGGTGGTCCTTAAAAAACAAATTTTCGAATTTTAAAGTTCGTAACCCCTCATTTTGTTAAGCATGGAAAAATAAGAGACACGTATTTTTTTTTTTTTTTTTTAAATTAATATTTAATGGTGCCTCATCGCACTTGAATTTTTACATGCATTTTGCATGGGGAAAAAACGTTTTTTCGTAGATTTGCTATGAAATGATGAAAAATGAATATTTTTTTATCGGACCACTTTGTTTTTCTTCATTTATGTTCAAAGAATAAGATCCAATAATTTATTTATGAATTTTTAATAACAAATATTTTTTAAACAGCCCCTAAAAACCCTCAAAAAATGCAAAATCAGGGAAAAATCGTTAAAAAATGTTTATTAATATTTTTTATAGTCTTTTTTGCAAGATTTTTTATTTACAAATTGAACAAATACTATTAATCGTATTTTTCAATAATTTGCAATTTGTTTAAACAATATATTGTTGTTACTGTAAAATTGTTGTTAAAAATATCTGGAAAATGATGTTTTTTTTAATTATATAACTTTTATTGACATGAACTGCAATAAATAACAGTTTATTTAAAAAAATGTCAACAAAAATTGTTTAAACAAATTATTTTTGTTATTTTAAAACTAGTGTTTAAATGTATCTACAAAGTTGCTCTTCCCCCTTAATTTTGCAAGTAGTTCTGCTGTTTACAATTGCAATAGTATCTTAAATTTGAAACTTCATTTTCGACAATTGTTTAAACAATTTAATTTTTTAATCAATTTAATACTTTTAGATTTTCTAAAATACATACAGTGCGAATAATTAACTGCGGCCCAGCCTAATTCTGACAGTATAGTTTTATTTATAATGTTGCAAGTCGATGTGCTACGACAAGTTTAGACGGGTT